ATGCCATTCTGTGCCTAACAGATTGGGGCCATAGGGATCGCAACATATAATATACTTAAGTGACGCTAACTATATATTTTGACGTTATGTATATGACAATTTTATTATATGGAATTGATTATGCTAACAACTGCACTAGTCAGTCGACTCCACTGATAATGTAGCTATGGGCTCATAGCTCTTTTTGTGTCAGTCTTCAGTCTTTGTCATAGTATTTTAGTAATTTTCTGTTATATTCTGTGTCATTAAATTTGTTATTTTAGGACATTATGATTTTTATCGCTACAAAAGAGCTAGGTTTCCCCCGATAGACTTGCGTAACACACACGTGCGACGTCAAATGACACCCAAATAAAAAGGGGATTATTTTCTCGTATCACACCATCAAGCTGACGCCAATCCATAATATATATTAAACTCTCACCAAAACCAAAACCGTGACAAAAAAACATTAGTTTGATGTTCTTTTTCCCAGATTTAATGCTTCGGGCCACGTAACTCTGGTGGCAGCCATTTTCTTCAGGCCGAACGAGAACAATATGACGTCACTGGAAAAGATATTCCCGATAACTTGCTGTATACTCTGTAAAGCGAAAATGTCGTCTACTTCAGATGCTTGCGTATACTGCTCACAGATTTATGAGAGAATTGCACAAAATAGCGTTCTAGGCAATGTAGGATGCAGGGAAAATAGCAACAGTACATACCGAGAAGTCCATAGAAAATACTAATAGAAGCAAACGACCATTTCGTGGCTTTCTATCTGTTCCACTTTCTGAGGGAAGTTCTAATACAGTGACGTCATTTAGCAAAGTAATTGTGTCCTCGTTCGACCTCAATTAAATGACTGTCACCGGAGTTACGTACGGTTTAGCGAGCTAAATCACTGGAAAAACAGATCATTATTGTCACGGTTGTCGCGCTGATGAGTTTCTAATAATATTAATGTTTATTAAAAACTCATCAGCGCGAAAACCGATTGGTGATAGTTACGGTTGTGTGATAAATGGTGTAGTTTTATCGACTGTTATTTGCGTTGCCATGTGGACGTGTTACGCAAGTTTATGGGAGGAACCATAGTTCTTCTGTGTCGATAGAAATCCTAATATCTGAAAATAACAAATGTTAATGACACAAACTATATCAGAAATGACTAAAATACCATCACAAAAAACTGAAGACCAATTCTTAATCTATTGTTACGAACAGGAGCTTCTTGTTCAAGGAACTTGGTCTTACTTGACTTGACGTAGAGATACCAGACTCGACCCAAAGAAATAAACATCAGTTCGTTACAGTTAGTCCAA